ACCCAAGCATTGTAGAAAGTGTTATTTATCCAGGAACTTTCTATAATAGAAAATATTTCTGATATGCACTTCTTGCTAACGATCGTCCGGGAGTTGTGGTAAAGAGAACATGTTGTGTCCTTTGGGGGCGTGGATAATTATGGCTCTCCGCGATTTCCTGTACTTTTTATCCCTTAGTAAATTTTGTCTTTTTTCTATTTATTCTCCGTCCTGGGTATGACGATAAATTACGACCAACAGTAAGTTCTCTGATCAGGAGGTTTTGAGGAGCTTGGAATCACATCTTAATTACTGGTGTTACCAGATACACCCAGACCCGGAGTGGTAGCCCCTGTTAGGGTTCCACCTATGGGTAAAATAGTTAACCCCCAAACTGGGGTCAAAACACTATGAAAGTGTAAAAATAGGTTTTAATACCAGAAATACTTCGTAAAAAATTATTACCAGCAATACATTATTACTGGCAATGTATTTTTGAAAAAAATAAAAAAATACCAACAATAAAAATCTTGCCATCATTAAATAACCCAATGAGGTTGATATACCGTAAAACGAAGCAAACCAAACCAAAGCAAACGTATTTATTCTAATCCCGGATCATCATCATCATATTCTTCTTCTTCTTCTTCTTCTGCTCCTCCTCCTCCTCTTCTTCTTTTCTACAGCCCCTCCCATTCTTCCTTCATCCCATCATCTTCTTCTTTCTTTTCATTTCATTCATCATCATCTTAATCCTTCTTCTCCTTCCTTCTTCTCTTCTTTTCCTTTCTTCTTCTTTTCTTCTTCTTCTTCTCCTCTTCTCATCCTTCTTCTTCCTCCTCCTTTCTTTTCTTCTCCTCCTCTCTTCCTCCTCCTCCTCCTTCTTCTCCTCCTCTTCCTCCTCCTCTCCTCCTCATCTTCTTCTTTTCTACTGCCCCTCCCATTCTTCTTCTTCATCATCATCATCATCATTTCACTCCTTCTTTCTTTTCTTCTTCTTCTTCCTCTTTCTTTTCTTCTCCTCCTCCTTCTTCCTCCTCTTCTCCTCCTCTCCTCCTCATCTTCTTCTTCTCCCCTCCCATTCTTCTCCTTCTTCTCCTCCTTCTTCCTCCTCTTCCTCTTCCTTCCTCATCTTCTTCTTCCTTTCTTCTCCTCCTCTTCCCCTCCCATTTCTTCTTCTTCATCATCATCATCATCATCATCATCAACTTCTTCCTTCCTCTTCTTTTCTTCTTCTTCCTCTTCCTCTTCTTTTCTTCTTCTTCTCTTCCTCCTCTTCTCATCCTTCTTCTCCTCCTCCTTCTTCTCCTCCTCTTCCTCCTCCTCTCCTCCTCATCTTCTTCTTTTCTACTGCCCCTCCCATTCTTCTTCTTCATCATCATCATCATCATCATTTCTTCACTCCTCTTCCTCTTCTTTTCTTCTTCTTCTCTTCCTCCTCTTCTCATCCTTCTTCTCCTCCTCCTTCTTCTCCTCCTCTTCCTCCTCCTCTCCTCCTCATCTTCTTCTTTTTGCTCCCATTCTTCCCATCATCCCATTCATTCTTCTTCATCATCATCCTCTTCTTTTCTTCTTCTTCTCTCATCATCTTCAATCCTTCTTCTCCTCCTCCTTCTTCCTCCTCTTCCTCCTCCTCTCCTCCTTCTTCTTCTTTTCTTCTTCTTCTTCATCATTCTCTTCATCATCCTTCTTCTCCTCCTCCTTCTTCTTCCTCCTCTTCCTCCTTCTCATCCTTCTTCTCCTCCTCCTTCTTCTTCTTTTCCTCTCTGCCCATCTTCTTCATTCTTCTTCTTCATCTATATACCGTGTCCCTTCAGAACGTGGGCGATAATAACTCTCCATAATTTCCTATCAATTTTAGCTATGAATGTCTTTTAACCATTCCTCCTTTTTCCCCTGTTCTGCCATCCATTGACCCAATTTTGTTTCATAGATAACTTACTCTTACCCTTTCTCTCTTTTGCCCAATGATTTCACCAGTCTCTTTCTGATTCTAAATACAAGTGTCTTTTTTTAATTCCATTTTCCTTAAAACTTCCTCACTGATTACATGTTCCGTCCATGGTATTCTCAACATTTTGCTGTCGAACCGTATATCTGTTGTCTCAAATATTCATTTCATCTATGCGGAAAATGATCATCATTCATTGCCATATCATTGGAGAACTGATATTACATAATAGTTCAGCCATCTTTCCTTAATACATTGTTTAGCTTTTGGAAGCCATGTTTCACGTTCCCTTCTGATTTCTCTCTCATATGATTCCATCGTCTGCTACTATACTACCCATGTTCTATGTACCACATCCCTTCAGAACATGGGCGATCATGGCTCTTCACAACTTCCTATCCCTTGTGACCTTCATTAGTTTCCCCCTCTCCAGTCATCCATTCACACCATCTCGTCAGGTAAGTGGCTAGCTATCTCCCCCTACCTTACTTGCACGCAGTACGCCCCGTGAGGCTTAAGTTTTCCAAGTCCTCCTTCATCATTATATGTCTAAGAAATGTTAGCTGTCTTTTTTATGGTTCTGGTTAGATAGATTCGCCTATCCTCCTGTTCACACTCCTCCCTGATCTTTTGAACAGGAGTAGAGGTTTAAAACTTGTGTTTAGGATTGGGTCTCCGATTCCTTCTAAGGTCTGTTTCAGCTCTGAAAAGAAGAACTCCTAACGCTTGTCTTTTCCTATGCTACTATAAGTTTACGCAGTTCCCCTCTACCTTGAGTGGCTCTTTGGCTTTTACTGGGTGAGCATTAGTAACAACAAAAAAAGAAGAAATGTTCTTTCTGTTGCCGTTTTCTTTAAGCCTTCTTAGTTGCTTACTCGCTCTGCCCATGGAGTTCTCAGTATTCTCCTGTAGAAACATATTTATGCTGCTTCTAATTTCTCTCCTCGTCCGCGGGGAGATTGTTCAACATTCTATGCCATATGAGAGGTCAGGTCAATTATGTGCCAGGCGTGATACACGCTTAGGCAATCATGTATCTTTCGATACATGACTGACGAGACAGATTTTTTCTTGTTGTTTGCCATTTCTTTCTGCGGTAAACCAATTGCCATCCAAGGCTAGAGAACGCAGTCTGTCCTGCTATTTACCCTTAGTGGGGGGAGTAGAAGAGGATTCATACCTTTCCCAAGGTTATTAGCACGTAAGTGAATGTAATGGATTCGACAGGAATTCGAACTCGGCTCTCCGATTCCTCAATCCAAGCCGCTATCAATTACTCCACCGTAATATACTATAGAAAATTAAAAACTACTAACTGCATAATTGCCAACGACACATCTATCAAATGTAAACTTAGGATCACCAGTGCAGTATATAAATTTTGCTGTTGCATATTATTGGATGTTGCGGTGGGTTGGATAATTATTTATATTCTTAAATAGTCGTTGGGTCATAGTGTACAAATGGAATGGATGATTTCAAGTGAAGTAAATTTCAGTTCCTTTGAAATATATTTTCAATATTTTCTTTCAGTCACTTATGTGCCATGCGTGATAAACGTTTAGCCGATCATGTGTCTTTCGATACATGAATGACGAGGCAGATTTTTTCCGCAGTAGGTTGCTATTTCTTTCCAGACCAGTTGCCATCCAAGGCTATAGAGCCTGGTCTGTCCTGCTATTTACCCAGAGCTGGGGGGGGGAGAGAGAAGATGATTCATACGTTTCCCAAGGGTATTTATTAACACGTAAGTAAATGTAATGGATTCGACTGGAATTCGAACTCGGCTCTTCGACTCCTCTATCTGAGCCACTATCCATTAATTCCACCGTGCCTCCATATAAGAGGATGGAAACGCTATACCAATCCAGCCTTCTTTTCTTTGTTTTTAAAGAATTTTTTTCCGACTCTCGAAAAATCTTGTTTTCTAACTGGACTCCAAGCGATGCCATTTCTAATCTTTGCAAAGTTGTTAGAATCATTCAATGAATGAATGCATTTCAACACATTTTTCTCGCGAACCTGATAAAACTCATAAATACCCATTTCGTTGTAAATGACCTTCGACACTGGATAGGGTTTCGAGTTGCAAAAGATTAAGGCATCACTGACTTTAAGAGAAACCCCAATGACTACTATTTATTTTTTTTTTTTATTATTCTTACCGCATTTTTCCCACTTTTTTTTTCTTTTTTTCAAACACTAATTAACTCTCAGCCCCTTCCCAACCGTCATTAATCTCAGTATCGGAAGTTTTCAAACTACACCTTTGTAAGTGGTATCTTTGGCTTTGGAGTTCCTTCCGTTCTATCAAAAATACCCTCCCCTACCACGACCGCCATTAGAGTGAACGAACATTTCACTCTTTTTCATGCCGCAACACTTTCAAATCTTGTTACAATCGTCATTACCGTCGACGCTCTCCTCTTCTGATTCGCAATTCTTACCATCAGCAGTAAGAGTCACCAATGTCGATCACGAATTTATCGTAAAAGGAATTATATATTATATATTTTCTTTTGCGGTTTACCACTCTTTTCTTTCTAAGATATAGAAAGAAGTGGAATGGAACAATTACATTCTATTCCACTTCTTTCTATATGTTACCTTTCTTTCTTTTTTCTTTCGTTCAACACTCATTTCTTTCTTTCTTTCTTTCTTTCTTTCTTTCTTTCTTTCTTTCTTTAACCTCATTTATTTTCTTTCTTTCTTTCTTTCGTCCTTTCTTTCTTTCTTTAACCTCATTTCTTTCTTTCTTTCTTTAACCTCATTTCTTTATTTCATTATTGCTTTATTTATTTCTGTCTTTCTTTCTTTCATTCTTTCTTTCTTTCTTTCTTTAACCTCATTTCTTTCTTTCTTTCTTTCTTTCTTTCTTTCTTTAACCTCATTTATTTTCTTTCTTTCTTTCTTTCTTTCTTTCTTTCTTTCGTCCTTTCTTTCTTTCTTTAACCTCATTTCTTTCTTTCTTTCTTTCTTTCTTTCTTTCTTTCGTACTTTCTTTCTTTCTTTAACCTCATTTCTTTCTTTCTTTCTTTAACCTCATTTCTTTATTTCATTATTGCTTTAT